AGATGGGGCAGTGCACTGTTGACTGCAATGTGTCAGCAGCAGTTTGCCTCTGAATGAATCTGTTTACATTTTCCACTTTGATGTCTCCCTCTCTTCTCTCCCTACGCTGTCTGTGTTCATCTCTCAATATCTCTCTTTCCCACGCTCTTTTCATGGCATGATGCCATGCTTCCCTCCCACGCATCCCACCCACCAACTGTGCCACCCACCGAAACTTCTCATTACTGTTTGATAGCTGATAAGAGCCTCAAAAGAAGTCAGCCCCAGCCAGCCAATAACAAAAAAGTGACCAAAATAAAGTGGAAAGGCGAGTAGAAGGGGAGTAAGGAAAGCGTCCAATGTTCTTGACACACACTGAAAAAAAAACAATTTATTAAGCGAATATTTGGGAATTCATTTTATTGATTTTTTTGTACCTAATTTTTAAAATTCTTTTAAAGATATTGATAGTTAGGTTCCAAAAATATTTCGTTATTTTAAATCCAAAAATTTTGTTAAGTGTAGTTTGTCTACAGGCGACTTAGAAGCACCGTTAAACGATGACGACAACAAGTAAAGAAACAAGAACAAAAACAAGTAGCAGCAACAACAACAATTGCAGCAACTGCAAAAGCAGCAAAACAAAAAAAAAAACCAACTTTAATGGAAGCCAAGAGACTACAGCGGCAGAGGCGCAGCGACTGAGCGCAGCAGCAAGAAATTGTTCAAGAAAATTCTTATAAGAAATTAGCAAAAACGATGACGACAGCAGCAGCAACGATGCGATTTTGCCGTTAGCTTTTTCCCCCATTTTTTTCTTCGAGATTTTTTTTTTTTTTTTAGCTTGTTGAAATGCAAAGCTCAAGACACAGAGAGAGAGTGAAGGCGAAAAAAAGAGCGCAACCAGAGGTGGACCATTGAGAGAAAGCCCAAGCCACAGCGAGAGAGCTATAGAGAGCGCGTTCGAGGAGAGCAGCAAAGGCAAGGCGCGACTTGCAGCGCGGCAGCAGAAGCAGCAGCCAAAGGCAAAAGACAATTGCAACAGAAGCTATTCGTGCAGGTGACAAAAGTGGCACCGTCAATATAGACATGGTTATTATAAGGATATTATATTGAAAGGATACAACGGATATCGATTTAAATTTAGGATTATTAAATATAAATATACGAGCTCTACTAGAAAAAGAATTTTGACAACTCCAAGTAGACTTTAAACATATATCATAAGCATAATTAGAGGACTAGTTTCGACAGTTTTGTAGCCTGAACAAAAAGCATTTTCAGTCTTTTTATTTCCATTTCCATCTCCAACTCCTTCTTCTTGAACTCCATCTGCAGCTCCATCTCCCCCATCTATTCTATCTACCGCCAGCCGGATGCTTGTGCTCTAGCTTTTCCCCGCTGCCCGGCGAGAAAAGGGGGGAACTGGGAAAACCACACACACACACACACACACTCGACGAATAAGAGGAAAGTCGACGGCAAAACAAAATATTCCAAACCGAGGATAAGTGGGGAAACACCAGACGAAGAAGGAGGAGCAGCAGCAGCAGGAGACGAACGGCGACATCAAGGAAGAGAGCTAAAAAGTGATTGCGTTGTTCATAAATCAGTTGCAATTAAAATTAACTGGGGGAAGAATGCAAGGCTAATTAGATTTGTGGTCAGTCGCTGTCGCAGCTGGCTTTGCAGTTGCCGGTTGCCGGCACGCGAATTTTGTGGCTGTTGCTGTGGTTGTTGTTGTATTTTCGGGGTGGGGCGCGGCGCGAATTGCACTTGTGTTGAAATTGTTATTGCATTCTTGCACACACACAATTGACACACACTATAAAAAAGTACATAAAAAAATATCGTTTTACTCGAAAGATTATTATACAAAAAAAAAAAAAAGTAATACAAAAAAACACCACAAATAATATTAAGCTTCATCTTTTTATCATCTGCAGTTTATTCTTTTTTTTTCTTGATTATTATTACACCTTTTATTTACACACAAAATGCCGCATTTGATTTCCAACACGAAGCATGCTTGGCGCACGTTGCGTATACGCAATGCGGCCGTTGTTTTTGTTATTTCACTCGTCACGCTGATGACGTACAAATATCAGCATGTGCAACGTCATTATCTTCACCATCATGCTCATTACAACTTGTCATCATTAGGCACGGCACGTCAGAAGCAGAAGACGAAGGCAGCCAAAGCACGCGCTGTCCACATTACGTATACGCAACGTTTGACAACAACAAGCGGCTGGCAGGCAGCATCATCTTCATTATCATTTAAACATTAACATTATCACACCGTCTCCATACGTTCGTTGCACGCTTTACCCACGAATTCGCAAAACAAGCGAGTGCAAAGCATAATCGCCGTCGCATTGCTCAGTCTCTCAGTCTCTCAATCGCTCAGTCTCCGTTGCCGTCGACGTCTAAATGCGCACTAAAAAATCCGAGCAAAAAAAAGCACGGCGGAGCAAGCATCCGAGAAAGGCGGAGAATCAAGAAAAAGAAGAAGAAGAAGCAGCAGAGAAAGCAGGCAACGGCAGCAGAAGAGCCGGCACAAAGCAGACCAAGCGAAACGCGGCCAAAAAGGCAAGCGCCACCAAATCCTTTTTTAGCTCCCTTGCTGGCTTGTTATCACAGAGTTGGTAACAGAGACGCAGCAGCCAAAGACAGGCGAAAGGCAAAAGGCGAAAGGAGACAGCAGACAGGAGCGGCTCTCTTTTTAGCTCTCTCTCTCTCTTTTCTGTCTCTCTCACTGGCATACATACAGAGGTTGTGTTTGTGTGTGTTAGAGAAGTGGACCTCTATAAGATAGATATCCTAACTATGGTTAATATTCTCTTTTCCCGTTTTTCTCTGGTTTATAAATATATTTTAATCCTTAATCATGAATCCTTGACTACATTTTATGTTGAAAATGTAATTTGTTCTATAATTAAATAATATATATAAAAAAAAATTGTTTATAAAAACAATAACAGTTTTATTTTCTCGGTTAAATTTAATGTAACAACTAACTAAAATCAAATACAGCCTAAAAATTAAAATAAAAATTATTATTTACCTATATGGAATATATTCACTATGAATAAGTCCACCCTAGCAAACGGGCTGTGCGTCTATGCATGAGTGTGTGTGTCAACACGGATGAATGAACGTCAAATAGAACATGTGCTAATGAATTATCAACTGTCAGCACAGCGCGCAAAGTGCAAACACTCACGCGGACATGAATGGCGGCGATGGGTGGGCAGGCAGCCGTTTTGTAGGGGATGTCAAGGATGCAGGGGATGAAGATGTGAAGACGTGTCTGTGAATGGGAATGGGGCGGTGGAGACATCGGGACGGGGGTGCGGGAAAGAACATAGCCTACTTAAAGGATGCGCCCGACAAAGGCGAGGACATCGCGTCGTTGGCATCGACAGGCAAACTGTGAAGAGCTGTGAAGCTGTGGATAATAATGAATGAGTTCAGCTTGGAGTCCGCTTTTGGATATGAATCAATGGGGCGGAATAAATGAGTTGTCGAGAAATGCCGAGCGATATGATAACTCTATTTTTCAATTTTATATGCAGCACCGAATAGGTGAATCAAGCGAATGAGTGACTTCACAGATACATAATTCATGGAAATATCAAAGATATCACTTACGAGTATGACTGTTCTATATGTGTTTTTGTGAGTGAATAAAGTGAACTCTTTTTTTTAGAGCAAATAACACAAATTCTTTTTCATTTTATTCATTTTAAATGAGTGAGTGAGCCAGTAAAATTAACTCACTTAACTTAAAAGCCAGTAAATTAATGAATGAAATGAACTCATTTTTAAACAAATTTAACCTTTTTTTTTTTGTTTCTGTAATTGTTACATTTGAATTATTCATTCGTCCAAGCGAATTCATTCGATGTGTTGACAGGCAACAATTTCATTCCGATCAAATTAATTTGAATCGATTTGCATTCACAAACAGCGGGCGGGCGGGCGAGTTACAAAGCCTTAGTGCCGCCCATCCATCCCTAGTGTGAGTGCCAAATCCCCAATCCCGGTACCCATTCCTGTTGCAGGTCCTCCTCCCTGCTTCATCTTGTGCAGCAGCAAACGTCTCCATGCGAAATAAAAAATATGTTGCCCGCTTTTAGGCGCTCAAACGCAACTTTTGTAATATGCATTCCGCTTGCCTTGTCTGTGTGAGCCTCCCCTTCGAGAGTGTATGTGTGTGTGTGTGTGTGTCGAAAGGTAAATGACATCAATGGAGGTTGCCTCTGCTGGCGTCGCTGCCGCCACAGGCGTGTTTACTTTTTGCTTGCATTTCGGTCTTCGTATCCGCTTGCTGCTTGCCTGCTTACAGTTTCCGGCTTTGGCCAGCTACCAACACAAGCGTACAGCACACACATACAAAGTGCAGAGAGGCTTATTGTGCGCGCGCCTAAGTATATGCAATGATTTTTTCTTGTTGCAAAAACCACAGCAGGTGCAAGATGCAGGGATCCCTGCAGCCTCCTTAATAACTAATCTCCAGCCACAACCTGCTGCTGCTGATGCTGTTCTCCCTCCAATTTGGCCCTGTAAACTTTCTCCTTAGCCAGAAAACTAAATTCAACGCCTATTGTTTAACTATAAAACGAAATCAATGAAAATTCGAGAAGAATCTAAGCAAAAACGAGGCGGGCGCTAGTCTAAGTTGTAGACGGTTTCTGCTTCCTGGCTTTCTGCCAGGCCACTGTAATGGCCACGAAAATTGGCTATTGAGTTAGGGTTCCTGCTGGTTTCACCCCACAACAAAGTTACACCGACCGATCTCTCTCATCTCCCCAAGACAACATAGACATATTATTGATTTTTCGATTGCCAAGTTTTGGCACAATGCAAAAGAAGTTTCAAGTAGATTAAGTGCAAGGTAAATCCATAATTGTTATAAGAAAAACCATTTTCAACCTATATTTTCCAATTAAATAATAGTTATCCCCAATTTTCTTAATTTGAAACAATAAAAAAAGGGAATAATAATGAAAACTTACCACTTGGATCATGATGCGGAGGCCCCGGTTGTTGATGCTGATGTTGGTGCTGATGCTGGTGGTGATGATGTGGACTGGGTGCACAGAATGCGCTTGAACCGCCGCCCAAAGTGGGCGGTGGCACGCCCACGCTAGATGGCGGCGGATAGGCACTGGCGCGATACGACGGCGGTGGTGAGCCCACATCACAGCGATCGGAAACGACGGGCACAGCCACGGGCACGGGTACTGGCACCGGAACCGGAACTGGTGCACCCGGTGGCGGTGGTGGTCCATAATGTCCCTGCGGCGGTGGCGGCGGCGGTGGACCTCCATAATGATGCGGCGGCGGTGGCGGTGGTGGACCATGGCCATACTCCGCCGCCTGCTGGTAATGATGAGCATGAGCCGCATGGGCGGCATACTGATGCTGGTGATGCATATGCAGTACACCGCCACCACCCGGCGCTAACTGGTGGGCATGGTAGGCGGCAGCAGCGGCGGCGGCAGCTGCGGCAGCAGCATAAGATGGCGGCGGCGGACCATGATGATCCGGCAAGCCATGCTCCGTATGCAGGCCAAGATCTGGGGCATGATACATGCCAGCGGTGAGATGCTCGCCGGGCAAAAGGACATGGGGTCCCGTCGGCGGTGCATGGATGGGCAAAGGTGGCGAACTGTGAGCTGTGTAAAGGGATTGAAAGTCAGGTAAGAGTTAAAGATAGAGTTAAAGGTATAGAGCTATATGTAAGCTCGATTTAGTTTCAAGAAATGAAAGACCGAAAGTCATTAAAATTGAGTAAAAAAAACGAAATAAGAAAGAAAAACTATTTCTTTTGTGGAGATTAATGAAGGTATCGCGTTTCTCAACGACGTGACATTAAAACTCTACCACCACTGGAACACCACTAAGATAAGGCTTTCAACTCACCTTCACTGAGTCCGGAACTGGCGCCCGGTGGCAGCATGCTAGACAGAGCGCTGAGCGGTGTGTAGGACTTAGGTGGCTCTGTGGAGCCCGGTCGCAGGACACGCTCCTCGGTGACGCTCGACTGGACACGGTATTGCATTTTGCAGTATGCCTCCTGGGCGGCTCCGTTGCTGGCATTTACATAGACCCCGGTAATGGTCACGTCTGTATCCTGGACAATGACCACCGACGAGGAGGTGGGTCGGCTACAGTCCTTGGCATCCTTGGTGCTGGCCGCCGAGTCGCGATAGCCGGTGGTGGTAATGGTGGTATCCGTATTGGTCTCCTTGGTTTCCTTCGAGTACTTGGAGTCGTTGCTCTCCTCGATAATCGTATGGGTGCTGGGCATTTTGCTCGCAGCGGCTGCATCCTTCGAGTCCTTAAGCTCATTTTCCCGATCCCGCTGGCGTTGACGCTCCCGTTCGCGTTCTCTTTCGCGCTGCGATTCCTTGGACTCCTTTGGCTCCTTGGGCTCTTTTTTGATGTGGATCACCTCAGATTTGATGGGTGTCGACGATGCCGCCGTCTTGGTCGTGTTGCTGGGCATCGTGTCTAGCTCGTCGTAGCTCTCGAAGCTACTGCAATCGCTGGCCAGATTCTTGTCCAGATGCCTTTCCACCTCGTAGGTGGCTGCCACAATGGCGCTGGCATTTAGGCTGGCCATTCGCTTTCTGGCCAGGATGCCCTTGTAGTCACCGATTAGCTCCTCGGTGAAGACGGTCTTGCGCTTCTTTGGCAGCTGCTTGGGTGGCTTTGGCTTTTCCTTCTCCTTGGGAGCAGCTGCGGCGACGGCCTCCTCCTCGTCGCTCTCCTCCACTGGAGTGGCCTTCTTTTTGCGTTTGGCCTCTGCCTCACTGGATGTTGCCTTCTTGGGTGGCGCCTTTTTGGGCAGCTTGCGCTTCTTTGCTGGCGGCAGGGGCTGCAGGAGCTGCAGCTCCTCCGCCTCGCTGTCGCTATCGAACTCCCAATGTTTACCAACTCCCCTGCCACCGGGAACGTTGCGCAATTCCCGGCGCGGCTCTGCCTCCTTGGGCGGAGCACTGGTGGCTGCCGGCGTGGCGGGCGTATGCGGCGGACTCACCGATCCCTTGTCCCTGTCTCCGTCTCGTGGCGAGTCCTTGTGGTTGTCGTCATCGCTGCCGTCCAGCGTTCGTATGCGCGGCGGCTGCTGCGTCGCTTTGGATAGGCCCAACTCGTGGGCCGTGCGAGACTCGTTCTCGTAGAGGCACTGCACTTTGGCCAGGGCGTTCAGCGAGGCCATCCGATGGCGCTTGGGACCGCTGTAGGCGCTCAGCTTGCGCTCATCCTCGGAGGAGCTGCTGTCCGAGGAGCTGTCACTAGCCGGTGGCTCCTTAGCAGGACCGGAGTTTTTCCCTTTGGCCACGGGTTTCTTCTTGCGGCCAGGCGTAGGCGTGGGCGTGGGTGTGGCCACCTTTCGCTTGGCCTGCTTTTTGCCAGCGGAGGAGCTGCTGGCGGTCTTCGTTGCTATTGGTTCGGACTGTTGCTGTTGCTGCTGCTGATCGCTGGCCAAGGGATCTGCCTCCTTCTCGTTGTGCTTGGGTTTCTCCTCCTTTTTCTCCTTCTCCTTCTCAACCGCGGGTTTCTCCTCCTCTTGCTTGACCTTCGGCGGCTTTTCCTCGTCATCTGGAGCCTGCTGTTTGACCTTCTCCTGGCGACCCAGCTGCTTCAGTGGCTTATTATCCTCGTCGGAGAACTCACGCAGCTGCTTGAGTGCCGGCAGCACCATCTTGATCGGCTCCTCATCCTCTGATCCGGATTTGAAGTCATATATGTCCTTGGCCCCGCTCCAGGAGGCGGCTGGCGATTTATGGTGCGCCGCCTGCTGCATGCGCCCCTTCGTTCCTGCCGAGGTCTTGGTGTACTTCACCTTGGGCCGCTGCTTTGGCGGTGGCGGTGGTGCAGACTGACCCGCCTCCGTGCCAGTGACACTGGATGTGGGTGTCGGAGTGGGCGGTGCCGTTGGTGTCGGCGTGGCCGTGGGCGTCGAAGTGGCCGTGGGCGTTGGCGTAGCCGTTGGCGTGCTGACAATTTCCTCCAAGTCCATTTGTACGGGCTCCGTATTGGAATCCGGCAAGCGGGATGTGCTCTTTGCGGGAGTGGGCTCCTGTCCCGGGTTGGTCTTTTTCGGCTTACCCACCTTGGTGTGCTTGGAAGTCTCCTTCTTCTGTGGCTCCGCCGAGGCTGAATCATTCTTGGACTGCTCTGCCTGGGGTTGAGTTGGTTTCTTGACGGGATTCTTGCCTGATGTCTGCTTGGATGTGACAGAAGTTGAGGCACTGCTGGCCGTAGACGTGGATGTTGCTGCTCCTGACGTCGTCGCCGTTACTGCTGGCGATGTATCCACCTTGGCCTTCTTGGCCTGCTGCACGGTCTTTTTGGGCGCTTTAGTGGAATGGGAGTCTTCGGAGGTGGCAGCCACTGCCGTCTCCTGTTCCGGCGGCTTGGCCTTCTCTTTGTCTCTATCCGGATGCTTTTCCGGCAGCTTCTCTGGCAACTTTTCTGGCGCTTTCTCCTTAACGGGCTCTGGTGAGGGGCGAACTCGCTTTACAGCCGGCATTTTGCCGGGATTGAGGCTGGCTATCACCTTTACTGCCGCCGCCCTGGACTTGGTCTTGACATTCTCCGAAATGGAGGACTTGAGCACCCCCTCGTTGAGCCGCTCTTCGCCGCTGGGCAGCAGGTTATCGAAGCCATGGATCTTGATGTCCAGGCTCTTGAGCATCTTGTTGATGGCCCGCGCCTTGCCATCTTCGTGTCGCTCCTCGGGCGACAACTTCAGGGTGCCGGAAGAATTGCTGCTGCCGACTGCTCCGGCAGCGGGTGCAGTCGAAGAGTTGGCGGAGGAGGAAGAACTGGTCGCCTTTCCAGCTGCACTGCTCTCTGTGCCCGCTTGCGATCCTGATCCTGAGCCCGCTCCCACTGTCGTTGAATCCTTGTTTGGCTTCTTGCTTGAGGTGGCAGCTGTTGCTGTTACCTCTGTCTTGCCGGAGGATTTCTTGTCCTCCGCTTCGTCACCGGCACCGGAAGCCTTCGTCAGCTTTCCTGCCCGCTTTTTCCCCGGCACTATCGACGCAGCCGCTGCCGCTGCTGCTGCCGCTGCCGCCGCGGTCGCCGTTGAGCGCTGTACGCGCTCCGCGACGCTGGCACGCTTCTTCGAGACCATTCCAAGGGGCTGTGGTGCACGAGGAGGAAGGCACGTAGGCCCACGTATAAATATTAGTGAAAGAAAACGGTCAAAAGGGAGGCCAGAGGGTGAAGGAAAATATACGTATCCCGAAGAGGGGGGTGCAGAGACAAGAGAATAAGACCCCAAGATACACGGACAAAAAATAATGGTCTAATAACTGTTACTCTAAAAAAAATACATATGTAAATGTAAGCATTTATAATTTTAATAATTTTTTATAATTTTTAAATTAAATCAAATTAATAGATTAACAAAATCTTCGATCCTTTTTAGAGTTAAACTTAAAATAATATAATTTAGGATTAAAATTATATTATTATGTGGTTAATAATATTTTCGAAAATATTAAATTGATAAATTTTGTTAATATATTTTAGTTTAAAAAATTTAAGAAAAAAGTTGTTGTCTAATAGGGAATAAATTAATAATTACTAATTATTAATGTCCTTTTTTTTGTGTGTACAGGCACCACTTCACTTTCGATTTCTTCCCGCCCTCTTTTTTTTATGCACTTTTCCTTATTCAGTTCAAGTGGCGGCACGTGACAAACAATGGAAAATCCACCTCTTTCGAGCTGGGAGGAGGTGATTCCAAGGATGCAGGCAACCCACTCAGAGCCCGGCTATGAAGAAATTAAAACAGAATGATTTAACAATATGATTTAATTTAATTTAATTTAATTTTAAACAATATAAATCTACTAATATGAATAAAATATTTAAATTGACAAAAAATATATAAACTAAATTTTAAATTCAAATAATTTTGATCATAACTGATCCCCGCCGGATCTCCTTTTCTCGCTCTCTTTCTCCCTTTGCCCTGCCCTGCTCCCCCATTAGGATCGCTCTTTCGGGAACTCCGTTACAATGCAAAAAGGTCACTGCTCACCGTACTCACCTCTCGCTTGCACTCTTAGGTTGGCCCTCGCTTGCCGTTTCGCTTGCACTCACTGTGCTGCCGCTGCTCGGGCGCTGCTGCTGCAACTGTTACAACAACAACTACTGCAGCAACTGCAACTGCCACGACAACAACAGCAACAACAACAACACGATGTGGATAGTGAGAATGAAGAAGAAGAGTTCGATGGTGCCAAGAGGCCAGCGACGGGCACAGAAATCCGTCGGAAGGCCATCTGGCTGCTGCTCGAAGATCCGGACACGCGATCCGGATCCGAGAAGTTTTGGGACACTTGGTTTATTGCCTTTAGTTTATTTGTTTCTTTTTTTTCACTTTGATATTTGTGTTTTTAAGCTGTTTTTGTTTGTTGCTGCTTCGCTACTTTGTTGTTATTGTCGATCGGTTATCGGTTTCACTGTGTAAGTGAGTAGGAGGTGGGGGAAAAGCATAAACATAAACATAAACATTTTATATTACACACATTTCGTCACAAAGTGTGTGGGAAACACACATACAAAAGGCGCTCGCTCCGTAAACACGTATACACACACAGGCACGCGACGGAGGGCGGAGAGCAGAGCAGAGACGGGAATATCAACAAAAGAAAATTTACTCCACTCTCTCCGACACACACACACACACACAACTAGGCGGGTTTTTCCAAACAAAAAAAAAACAATTTACAATTTTCAGTCATTTACAACGCCTGTGATTTATGTTAAGAAAAGTTTAAGGAAAAAATTGCAATTACTATTCATTGACACCCCCTCCCGCCACCCACACGCACACCCGCACCATCTCGTACACTCACGCCCCCCGACACATACGCACGCACATGCACACAGACACCGAGCGTTTGGCGTGCAAACATGATGCAAACGCTTTTCCTATTGGACATCAATTGGTTGTTTTTCTCGCTGAAGTCAATACCGCGGCGCCGAACACTACATTGTTATCAATTGTGAACGCATCAAAATCCATTGGGGACACACTCAATAAACAAATCACAGAAAAAAAAATAAATAAACGCACAGTAAATACATATGTACCAGTATGACCGTCGCTTGACCGTTACAAAATACCTGGGCAGTGCAGTAAAATATCGATGGTGCAATCGATTAAAGGCTTTCGGTGGCACTATCGATAGCAACAATACGTGTGGCTCCACATACTAAAAATATACTAACTTAAATTTAGGATAAATTTGTAGATGGCGCTTTTCACATTTTTCTTAAAAGGACGAATTGAAGGGACTGACAGTTTAATTTAAAAATACACAGTTTTGGCAATTTGTTTGGTTAATGCAATTGCTTTTCAGATTTGATCAAAATTGTTTCATATATCTTAATATAGATGAAATGATTACATTTAAAATTTAATAAAAAAATTTAAAAAGCTACTAAAGGAAAAAAAACTCCTTTGTTTATTAATACCGCATGGAATGGAATATACATTTTTGTTCATAAACTTTTTCATTAATTTTATCTTGGTTAACAACCCCCTCAACTTTATAGAGATGGAACTACGATAAGCGAATATCGATGAATCTGTCGTTATCGATTTTTTTATAACGTAATTATGATTCTGTTACGTTATTTTGAATTAATTTCGAATTTTGAACGACAAACAGTCATCCGAATTGGACTTTTCCACATATTATTGTCCATAATTTAAAATAAAAACAAAAGGGACTGCAAGGAAGAGCCAAAATCAAACTCGAGAGCAGCCTGTCTTAGTAGAGTTTTTATCCTTTTTAGGACACACATAGCGGGTATAACACTATTCGATAATAGTGTTATATTTTTAATATCGACTATTCGATCAATAATATCGATGTTCGATGTTATCAATTATGAACCACAACAGCTGGAATTGCCGTTAGGACGCAGAATTTCGTCCTTTTGCATCACGTATGGCAGCTAGTTTAAAATTACGCTGCAAAATGGAATGTCACTATGTCACATGTTTTCCGTTTTTATATTTCGGTCATTTGGTGCTGCGCATGTTTTGTGCAGAGGCGTTGGAGCAGCGACATGGAAGGGGATTACAGCTGCTGATGTGTGGACTGCACCGCTACACGGCATGCTGCGTATTCTGCGTAGAGCCGACCCCTTCTGGCACAACCACTGCCTCCGCCTCCGCCTCCGCCTCCTGTTACCTTTTGCTCTTTCTCCCATTTTCTCGCTCTCTCTCTCTCTCTCTCTCTCTCTCTCTGTTCAACGCCCTTGTGTGGGTGACTCTAAGGATGCCATGTGTTTTGTGAATCAGCCGCCGCTCTGCCTTCGCCTGCCGCCCCCCTTCCAGTCGGCGCTTCTGCTACGCTTCGGCTGCTACTCGTGTCCTTTCGGCTACTGCTTCGATGCTCTGCTTTCAATCGTTTGGTCCATTGCACAGTGGAAACGTACTTGCACATTTCTGTGGGCTGTAACAAAATCTAAAAAATTGCAGAACCGAAAAACGAGATATATTTTTCATAAGGTTATTTTATTTAATAAAAAAAAAACGTTTTTTAATGCCTTGCACTTAAATCCGGCCTCAAAAAATGTCCTTTATGATAGGTTTTTTGAAATATTTTAAAGCGATTATTCAAAAATGTACGTTTTTGGATACAAACGATCGGTTCGGCATCTTAAAATAATGTCCTTGCCTTTAAAAATAAGTTTTTAAAATTAAAAAAATCTTTATTGGTCTTTGAGGTACAAACTGAGATGTCATGCGTTGAAAAAATGGAAGCTTGACGATTTATATTAAAAAATATCGATATATGTATTTTCGACACTTTCTTCACTTATAAAATATAGTTTTTGTTGCACTAAAATACGAGTTTATTTAATATTTGTAAAAACTAAAATGCGAAAAAACAAAAAAAAAAAAATCTATAAGTAAGGTATTTATTAAATATTCTTATCTAAAATAATATTGATTTATTGCATATAATAGTTTCTTAAATATATATATATTTTTTTCAATGATATATATTTTTTTAAATTTTCAATTTAGTAACATAATACATATATAATTTATTTACTACTTTTTTGTTCCTATTTTTTGAAAAACAAAACCAAATTCGAAACTCGCAACGATTCGCCATTCCAAATTCCAAAATCAATTCAAAAACGTTTTTAATTTTCTTACCTTTCGTTCAATTCGAAATTTGAAATGACCAAAAATTTGACACCTATCTTGGCGATCCATATATATATACAAACTAGCTTTAACCACACCCTAGCCCACTGTGCCCGGTGTCGGGGCTGAGCCGAGCCGAGCTGGGCTGAGCTGTGTTAGCTCTGTAGCCGGAGCCGAATCCGAATCGGAGTCCGGATCCGGAGGCTGGAACACAGCAGCGGCAGGCCGACGACGGGAGCAGAGCGGAATCCATTGGCACTGCACGGCTGCTGCTCGCAGAAACCCGCCAGACTCGCGCCGGACGGGAGCCAAGCTTCGTCCCGGAGAACGTTAGGCGTACGGAGAGCAGAGAGGAAAGCAGAAAGCATCCGGAATCGCAGTGCCGGAATCGACAGCGGCATCGGCAGCAGCAGCGCTCAGTTCCGCGCAAGATTCCAACGCAACATCGTGGCAATCTCCATTCGGCGGCAGACGCGGAGATTGCGTGCGCAGCGCACGGGCACGGGACTGCACGTAAGGAAGCACCCGGAGTCCTCCGGAATCCACGGCAATTAAGAAAACGCCAGCGCACAAAAAAAAAAAGAAAAACAAAAAACTCTGCACGAAAAAACAACACCGAAAGTAGTCTTTTTTTTCTAAAAATATCGCCCATCGAAATATATGTATATATCTCGCCAAAATCAAAAAATACATTTTGTTTGCCGTCTCAAAAAAACCCCCTTTTTCCTCGCCGCGTGCGCGTTTATGTGTGTGTGTGTGTGTGCGTGCGTGCGGGTGTGATTTCGCGCGCGTGTGTGTGTCTTATTTTTTTTTGTTACAATTTTTTTGCCGTTGTTTAATCCTTGACCAAAAAAAAAATACATATATTTATAAATAATATAAATAATATAATTAAAAAAAGAAAAGGCGAAAATGTAAAAAAGAAATTATGCAAATAGCGTCCCAAGCGCACAAGTAATACAAAAAAAAAATATTTAGTAGGAATTATCTAGTTAAGCTTAAGGCAAACGATACGCACAAAAATTGCCATAACAAATCAAATAAGTTAAATAAGTTAAAACTAAAAGTGTTAAACGAAAAAAACACACAAAAACGACAAGCAGAGGTCGCAGCAGAGGAAAGCCCAAGTAAGTAGGCAATGGTTTTGGATGCTATGAGATATAGGATAATAAATTTAAGAAGCTAAGAAAATATTAAAAATATTTGTAGACTACACAAAGAACTTCAGTAAGCCAGCTTTCTGGTAAAGACTAAAGATTATAAAGATTATTATATATTAAATAATAAATAAATAAATATATATAAAGATATAGTATATTTTTAAAATTTTTCCCAGAAATCTATGCCAAAACACTGTTGAATTTTAAACAAAAGGAGAACATCGAGGATAGATTTTAAACGTCTTCAAATAAAATCAAGAAAAAACATAAATAATAACTTAAAAATCACTACTGATTTCCCTTGAAAACTCACAAAATATATATATTCTTATAGAAACAAAAGTAAACCTAACAATGATGACCGATTATTGAATCTATTATTTAATTTTTTGGCCAAACTCGAAATGCTTAGTTTCCTTGACACTATTTCCCGTTTTCGTTTGCCAAGAAAAACGGCGGAAAATCAGATGGAGGCAGCACCAATACACACACACACACATGCCAGCACTCTCTCTCGCACACACACACACACACACAGATACACGCATACACATACACATACAGAAAGACAAACACGTATATATAGACATAAATCCACGTAAAGCTGTTGCCTGGCCTCTAAAATGGCTGCCTCTGCCACTGGTAGCTGCGGCAGCGACGTCGGCAGCGTGGTAAGCAGCGCGCAAGAAGTTGAGGTTATGTCTGCGCCGCAAAATGTGCTGGGCTCGGTATCCAAAAAAAAAAAAAAAAACAACAAGACAAAAAAAGGAAACCTAAAAAAGAAAACTAAAATAAAAACAGAAAGCTGCTTGGATTCGTGAGTAACGCACTGCTGCCGCCCTTGGCATGGAAATGCTGTGCTATAGCCCCCTTTTTTTTTTTGTCGATGGGCGTGCCGCCGCCTACAAAGACAACGAAGAAGACGAGTGCAGCAGCATCGTTTTTGGGATAATGCTGCTTCACTTTTGCCCTTGTCCATGCACGAATTTCATTCTTTTTTCTTACATTATTTCACACGGTAAAAAGCTGTTCCAGGAGAAAGCTAAATTATCGTAAATGATTTCAAAATAGGGTTTTCAAATCCATTTAGAATATGCCCAAAAGCATGCAAATAAAAAATTTGGTGACAAATTGTATAAAATACTTTCGAAAATATTTTCAAATGGATTTTAAACCCATATAGCATTTATATGATGTGTTTTAAATTAAGGAACTTAATTGTAGCTGCTTAAAAATGTGAAATATATAAATTTGGGCATTCTGATTTGGTGGCGGAATTCGAAACCCCTTAAAAATAGGTCTAAAAGTATGCAATATAATGTTTTAGTTAAGGTTAAGGTTAAGGAATTTAAAAACCCCAGAGATTTCTTTAGAATGAATGGATTATTTTAAATTTGGTTTTAAAAAGGATAAAAAAATGTATATATTGCAAATGGACTTTTGGCTTTATTATTAATATTTTTTAAATTTAAATAAAGTTTTTATGTACCTTGCCTTGTGATTTTAATAAAATTGTGATTACAATAAAACTAAGATTTAAATCTGAAGCCTTTTTTTCTCTGGAATCTCTCAACTTAATCAAAATATTTTTTAATTTCCTTTTATATATTTTTGAAATTAATTATTTTTGTGTGTGTATTTCTTTATCTGTTGGTACGGGATGCCAAAGAAGGGGGTGGCTTTCCACGATGTGGATGACCTAGCCCTATTTTTGGCCACTGCAGAGTCAACTGCTGGCAGTGCTTCTGCCGCTGCTGCTGCTCTGCTGGCAGAGAGTCCTTTTTCTTTTTATTTTTTTCTGCTTTTCTGTTGATTTTCATTTGCTTTGACTGGATCAAGAAAAGATGAAAGAAGTATGAAAGAAATTTTTAAAGTAAAAAGAACAATCGACAATGATAAATAATCTGAGAGATGGAGAGTCACAGCCCTATTTTTATGCATTTTAGCTTGATTAATAAATTAATTTAGAAAAAAATCTAAGCTAGTAAGCATAAAAAGTAATTAAATTAACCTTTTCTTAAATCCTTTTCATTTCAGAACACCAATTAATCGCAAAAATCGAAAACTTAATCGGAAAACTAAGACTAAGATCGCTAAGCTATAATATTTAGGTAGAACCCACTCTGAGGATGATGCCTTCGATCTGAGGCCTAACGGTAGCGCTGGAGCAATGACCTGGCCTTGGGTACCGTCTCCGTGTCCTTCTCCATATCCAAATCCAAGTCCGCATCCTTCTCCGTGTCCTGCCTTAGCCAGGAGCAGCAGCCAACAACAGGTGCAGCCACCGTATCTTTGATGCCCGGCCACTAAAGCTGAAGAGGAACGGCAGCAGCAAAAAGGTAACAGGACCAGGATCAGGAGCAGGTGGAACTGGACTGAGGAAACGAAGTGGCGGCGCCTCTGCTTTGCGCGATGCAAGCGAACAGCAGCCGGTCGAATCTAAGCGCACAATCCTCGGGCACGCCATCGGCCTCAACGATCTCCTCGTCCCAGGGCAAGGTGAGTCCACGGGCTTTATATTTTTTTTGAGCATAGTTAGCCTATCCAGTGATGGTTATTTTTATACATTTTTAAAAAGGGTAATAGCCATTAGAATTATTAGAAGTTACACTCTTAAAAATATTTGTCTATGTATTTATATTTCATATTTTTCAAAATTGCCCTAAAACTGAGACAATATTTCTATAAATTAGAAAGAGTTTTAATGAATTTTAATAATAAATAGCAATAATAATACAATAAATTAATTTTAAAAAAATTACCTTATAATTCCCAACTGGTTCTGACTTCAAACTAGTGTTAACCCAGCCAAAAAATACTGTTTAGTCAAGTTTTTTTGTATTGCGTGTGTATGTGTACATATGAGGTTCTTAATTTAATGATAATGTTAATGTGTTTTAAATAAGATTAGAAAGATTGCCATACGTTTAGGGACTTTCTAATAAATAGTATGGCTCAAGGTTAAGCCCTTACACTTTCAAAAACCTGGTTTTGTTTAATTATCCAATGTTTTAAAGTTAATTTCATTTTTAATATTTGTATTATTTAATTCATATTTGAAATTTATTCATTAATACCTTTTATTATTTACCCTTTTGCCCAGTTCCTTCACTATTTGTTTATATGCTTTATAAATAAATCTCCTGCGCTTCAATTGATTTCTACAATTTTTTATAAATTCATACACAATTATGAACTCCCTTTATGGCCCTTGTTTATTGACTGCAATTATAAATATTGCCCCCATATGCCTGTCATCATCGTGGCAGCTCAAACAGATCAGAATTCATATTCACAGTCGCAGTCTCGAATGATTCGAATTCCCATTGGAAAATGGCTTTCAGCTCGGAGTGAAATTTTATTTGACAACTCGCTTCCTTCTGGCGGACGAGGACGAGGACGAGGACGTGGGCGTGGGCGTTGGGTGAAAGCTGATGGGTCCCCGGGCCCATTTCCGCTTTCAACTTGCTTGGTGTGCGTGTGTCCTTTTTGCAGGTCTCCTGCAGCAGGAGAAGGGAGCAAGGGGAGGCTGGCTGGAGGAACATAAATGTAACTGAGGGAACTGCATCCGCTGCTTGTCAATCGAGCGACGACGTCTGATGAATGCAACCCCCACCCACCCCAAGCTATACCCCTTGAATGCTTTTTCCTCACCATCATTCTCTCTCTCTCTCTCTCTGTCTCACTCTCTCTCTCTCTCTCTCTCTGTCTGACTCTCTCTCTCTTATTTGCATTGCCCATTGCCGGCGTTGTGTCCTTTATCGTTTTTAATTAAACATTGCCGTTTTGGGCTATTACACACAAACACATACACGTTAACTGGTGCTCACGCAATCTCACAGACACAGGCGTGCACTCAAAAAAAAAAAATACCTAAAGATTTTAAAAAATAGAGTAGTAAAAAATTTATTTAACTATACAAAGTTTCTAGGAAAAAATCCTTTGATTTTTCATGTACAAAAAAGAATCATTATAAATATAACAATTTATTTCGATCCGTGTTTTTTTTTCTCTGTTTTCCCTTGCTGATTTTTCCTATATTTTATGAAGAGGGATTTTTCAGTTGTTCCTTTTGAATTTACTCTTTCACCTTTTCATTTGATGTTTTCATATAAAATTACTCCCTGAAGATTCTTTCATTCAGATTTTAGTTTTCTGTTTTATTTTGTAAGTTTTTTTTTACATATTTCACTAAAGTTCTCATTTCCTTATTTCCCGTTTTATTTTAATATTTTTAATTAGCTGCTTTGTAGAATGACTCGCCATCCTGGAAAACTTTGATTTGCCATTTTTAAATAAAAGTTAAATATTTCCCTTGGGTGGGATTTGTACTGAAAGCGCTAAAATAATAATTATATTGCAATTAAAGGTGGGTTTTGCAAAGTTTAAATAACATAAATATTGCTCTGGGATTTGTCATATGTATGTATGTATGTACATATGTATGTATGTATGTATACTGTTAATTTTCCCTTTGAATGAGTTTCGTTTTTAGATTTCTTTAATTTTATTTTTGTTCTGTAATTGGCTGTCGCTTTGAATTAGTTTACAACAAGTTTGTGAGTCATTTTAAAATTACATTTTGACTTTATTTTTGCTAGCTTGTGTATTAATATTGCACCAATCCTTAATTAATTTAAGCCATTTTTAAGCCATTTTCCTGTAATGTTTCCTTGTTTGTTTATATACACAATTTATTTATTTTTTATTTATTATATTTTAGTGATATTTTCCCATGCTGCTTAGATGTTTTTATTAAAGACTGCCAGTATATTTTTGTATCTATTACTTTTCCTGGGATTTACTTCCCCTTCTGGGAATATCCCTCTGTCTGTTTATACTTAATTTGTTCGTGTTTAATTTGCAGTTCTTTTGAATTGCTCATTCCTGGAAAACTTCATTTGCGCTGCTGAATATTTGGATCGGGGTTTTCTTGGGTGAAGATAAAAAAAAAAGAAAAACATGAACACAGTGGCAAAATGCTCTCAAAAGTAAACACTTTGGTATGTGAAGTTTTTTATGTATAAAAATAATTTTCTATATTTAAGAAAAAAATCGCACCCCAAAATCAAGACAAGTCACTAATAATATAATAAATAGTAATACAAAAATGTAATAAATCTTAAAATATAAAGAAGCAATTGCTAAAAGGATAACTTAGAGGAGAATACCATTTTCCAGTGTCAGAGATTTCATCTGTAGGGTTTAGATCTTAACAAAGTAATTGTGATTTGTTGCTAAATAATACTAATACAAAAAAATATTTTAAAAATAAAGCTTACATTAAGGTGTTATTTGTGCTCCACTTGTACCCTATGATTCCCAACTGGTTCTGACTTTAAACTAGTGGTAAACCCAGCCAAAAAGTGATGTTTATTCGTTATTTTGTATTGTGGGTGTGTGTCATTAATTCAATATTAATGTTATAGTATTTTAAGTAATATTAGATTGTTTATATTTCTATCGTGTGGTAAGTTTGCGTATTTTTTTCAGGAATTTTATTGTTTGTTGTATATTTCTCTTTATGTTTAATTCAGGAGTTTCGTTCTCTCTTGCTGAAGGGCTAAAATATGATGTAGGGTTAAATTGGGGTTATTATTATTTAAGTGGCTGTGAGTTCGATTATTGTGTCCTAATATTATTCTTGTAAATTTGAATGACTTTCTGCTCAAGATATGTTTTTCGTTGGATTGAGAAACTGTTGAGTTTGGAGTTTTTGGAGGTCTCCTAAGTAAACACAAGGAATTTGTAATTATTGAATTTGTATTTATGGGTGTACTGTATCGAGCGTGGACTGTATGGCATTGGAATAGAATTTCTGCAAATAACGCATACGCCGCATGGGCCGCCTGTCCATCATTGCGGTTGTGTGTGTGTGTTGCTTTCGCTCATATTCCTTCCTTCCAGCTACTTTCTGCGGCTGTCAAAGAAAGTTTTTTTATATGAATTGCCATGAAATTTTCAAATAACTTTTATATATGATGATGGCCATTGGCAATGCTATTCTGGGCAACCACTATATATGTACATATATATATATAAATATGTATATATATATATAAATGCCAGTAAAATGAAGCAGAAGAATGAAAAGTATGAAACATTTTGCTTCATTAAGTGGCAGCGTGTGTTGTGTCCCTTCTGTGTTAGTGTCTATAATTCAGAGAAGAAAAAAAAAGAGACGAAAAAAAAGAGCCAAAAAAAAAAGAAAAGCAAAATAAGAAAAACAAGAAGAAAAAAAATCGGCAAGAAAAACTGGGCATGAAGAAACGCACATGCGTGTGTTTGTGCGTCTGATTGCGGTAACTGCAATTGCGCATGTGCTGGTCCACTCTAGAGGCCACCCCATCACCACCATCAGGACGACGTACTGTAGGCCAGAAGACATATGCTTGATAACTGGTCCTGGTTCCTGGTTCCTGGTTCCTGTCCCCCTTGGCTCTTGGCTGCTGTTACAACAACAAAAATATTTCAACTTTAACCACGACAACGACAATAGCCGACAATTGTGCGTAACGTTTGTATCATTTATACCACGTACCATACTTTGTTGCATAACCTTTCCCTGGTATCAGCAACATCACTCCAAGGAGAAGGGGATTCCTCCTGATTCAGGACTTTCCCATTCTAATTCCCAATCCCATTCTCATTCTTATTCTTATTCGCATTGCCATTCAAGGTTCCATCCGCAACCACATCATTCATCCCTTTTTGCTGCTTATTAGCCAGAAAGTGTATATGTGTGTGGGTGTGTCTGTGTATCTGTGCGTTTGTGTGTGTGTGTGTGTGTGCATCATTTAAAACAATATCCAAAGATTTGTTTCGCCATTTATATGTCAAAAATGACAAGTCAAGTGCTTTGTTCTTGTTCTCGCCTTTCTGCCTTCGCCCTTCTGCTGCTGCTGCTTTCTGCTTTTTGCTTTCTGCTTTCCCTTTTTGTGAAGCATCTCCCTCGCCCTGCCCCTTCCCCCTCTCATCCTTCATCCTATCTCTGTTTTCTTTCCACGTTTTTTTTTTCTATTCTTTGTTTTTTTCCCTTCGTTTCTGGTTTTGTTCTTGGCTTTGTCATTAGCAGTCAAGCGCAAAGTAGCGGAGCCAAGATCACGCCGCTTTTTGAATACCCTTTATTTTTTTTTGTATAAAAGTGTTGGAATGGAGTGATAGTGCTGTAATTGTAATACTATAGCTTTGGAAATCTTTTATAAAGTTTTTATAATATTTGCTTTGGCAGGAGGTTTCTATTTTAAAGGGATTTCTTCAGGTTTCATAGTCATTCCAATTACACCAAAAAAGATGTTGGTGAAGCATTAAATCGGTGTTGGAAAGTCATGCTCTGTTGGTATTGATAATTATTAACACTTTTAAGGCAGACTTCATAAATGATTATTTATTTATTTGGAAATTATTCTTATATATTTGAAATTAATTGTTTATAAATCATAAATATTTCTTTATTTATTTGGGAAATATTCTTATTTATTAAAAATGTATTATTTAATCTTACTTCGTTACATTTAATTACAAACAAAAAATGTGTTGGAAAAGCATAAAATCACCGTTGGCAAGTCTTATCTTAAAGGATTTGTCTTAACCCTAAGCTGCCCATAAAAGTGTGCTACGAAAATGATTTCGCGATCGGGGCACTAGTATTTGTTTTCATTTCCCCGAAACTTTGGCTTACATACTCAGCATCGCGTGCAATTTTTAGTTTTTCAGAGAATTTCCCACAGCAAACGACAAAAAAAAAAAAAAAAAAAAAAAAACAGCAGAGACAATGACGGGAAAAGGGAAAATGTTGTCGCCTAGACTCTTTTTCTCTTTCCCTCTCTTGTGTGTGGCTCTGTACTTGCCATGTGTCTATGTGTGAAATGAGCTTCAAGTACAACAACAAGAACAACTTACAAGGACGCTCATATGAAAACAAACGCATAATTTAAGCGTAATTGCTGTCATTTTTCATTCGAGTGCGACAAAGTGCGGGCATGAGAGAGGTATGTAGGTGCTGAGGGGGCTTGGGTAAGGGGCTCTTTAAGTGCCCCAGTTTGTCTATGTCGCCAGTTGTTGCCCTGACACCCCTTAACACACACACACACACACCCCCACACACACGTACGTAACACACACAACTGCGGTTGAAATAATAGTAAATACTAGTATTCGAAAATTGTCCAGGAAAGAGTTCAAATGCAAGTACCTAACGAATAACGAGTGCCTTAGGATTCAAAGAAACCATTCTACATTGAATCCTGCTCACTGTGATATTATGCTGCATACTTTTGGTTGCTTTTTTTAATTGGTTTTAAATTTCTAGCGGTTTCAGTGATAAATATAAACGAAGAAATCTGAGAATAATTTATGAATATTAGTAAAACTCAGGAAGAAATACATTTTCTAACGCAGTATTTCTGTGAATGATTTTTTTGCACTTGAAAATATTCAAAAAGCATTAAAATATTAACTTATAAAAGCATAAATATTCAAAAAGCACTAACTAGAATTATAAAATATTTAAAAATATTCTTTTTTATTAATATTACAAAAACTAAAAGCATAATATTCGAAAGTGTTTCTAGGAATGATTTTCAAAACAAAACTATTCAAAAAGCATTAAAGTATGAAAGCATAAAAGCATTTTTAACACATATGTACAAATATTCAAAAAGCATTAAAATATTTGTGTTTAAAAGCAAAGAGAGAATATTTAAAATATGTCTTAAAACTATATTATAAATATAAAACCTAACGATTTTTAAAATAATGTGTCTTTTATTTTAATATTTAAATGTTCAAAAAAGCATTAAGGACTTAAAAGCAATAATGTTTAAAAAATGCATTAAATGCATTTAGAGATAATTGAAATGATTATTTTATATTTATATTACAAATTATTGTTATTTTTAACTTTGGACTTGGCCGCTGTTGTACTTCGGTATGTGCGAGTGTTGTTTGAGTGCCTGCATCCGGCGTTGAAGCGCCAATAATTATGCAGCTTAGGTTTTGGATTTCGTTTTCGTTCTCTTTCCCTTTTGCTCTTTGTTCCTGTTTTTTTTCGCGCTTCTCCTTTATTCATCAATTGGCCCGACTCTTTGCCATGTTAATCCAAACAAAAGAAAAGGGAATAATATTATTTACACTGAGAGAAATCAAATGTTTTCATAAATATTTCTTGTAATTTGAACTTAACATCATAGAGTAATGATGTTTCAAGGGCATTTTTCTGCTATAAAACTAAACATTTTCTCTGAGTGTATGTGAAAGTGTGAAAAAAAACGCTGCTGGAGTACGGTGAACAAGAAAGAGGCGTGAAATATGAGGCTGGCAAAGCGAGAACGGTGGCAAACAGTTTTGGAATCGTTGGTTTTTCGGTGGCTTTCTCCCCACCCAATTTTCCCATTTTCGCAGTATTTCTGTTCATTTCCCCAGCAGCAGCTGCACCGAGTCGAGAGCTGTCTTCCTGTTTATTCGCCGCATTGTGTGTGTGTGTGTGTGTGTGTCTACTTTTGGCCCTGTTAGCACCTGGCCCAGGACACTGGGACATTCCATTCCCTTCCATTTCATTCCATTCCATGACGCCTCCTGCTTTGTGTGTCCTTTTTGGCCATTTGCCAGCCCGAGCTCGAGTTCACTTCCAGTTGAGTGTTTTGCCTGTCGCAATAGTGTTGCTGTTGCTGCTGCAATTGCAATTGCTGGTGTTGCTGCTGCACTTGCAACAATTGCCGGTTCTGCCACACTGCCACGCCCACAACGCCATTGCCTGTTTATTCACTTTTGTGACCCAATAAGGCCGAATTATTCTCCCCTTTTCCACCCATAGTTGTTCCTTTGTTTTGTAATTAGGCAACTTTTTGTGCATTCCTGAGCTCCTTTCTTTTTTGCATATATGCAATATATATATATATATTTCAGGGATGTGCGTTATTGATAGCGATAAACTATCGTTTATTCATAAATTGTAAATCGATCATTTTATTGATAATACAATTAAATGAAATATGTCCAGTTTAAATTTAAAATATCATAGAAATTATATATTTACTGGGTTCTCTAAATTTTTTTCATTCTAAAAATATCGGTATCGATAAAAGCGATTAAGAACGATATTTTTGTATCTTTAACAATTTTAACTGAAGATATCATATAAATTATATTTAGTGGATTCCCTAATTAGTTTATATTCTAAAAATATCGGTATCGATAAAAGCTGTACCAATTATCAATCGATTAACAACGATATCTTTCTATCTTTTACTATAGAAGCTCGAGAAGTTTTGTCTTATTTTATTAAAAAATCAAAGAGTCTATTTTTTAACATACTTAAGTATTAATTTAAATGTAATTCATATAAAATAGAAAAATGTAAATTATAAATAAATATACACCAAGACCGATTCGATATTTCCATCGCTGACTTTTACATAAATTAATCTCAACACAGTTGATTCTGTTTTCTGTTATTTCTATTTATTTTTATGTTTTTCTTTTCTTGTTTTTATTTCCCCCTCTGACAGCCAGGTTTAAATGGTTCTCAAGTGTTTTTTTTTTTACCAATTTTCGGTTTGCATTTTGTGGTCTGAAATGTTGGCTATTTATTTGTTGCTATTTGTTGTTGTTGTTGGTCTCTTTGTGTCGCTTTTATTTCTGGTTTCTGTGTGAAATGAACTTGAAGTGTATTTAAATTGCTGCGAATGCATTTCGTCCAGGCCATGAATTATTCCTCAGGATGCTAAGGATGTTGAGGAGATGCTGAGGATGCTGAGACTCTGAGACTCAGCAAAAGGTGAAAGGCGCCAATTTTAAACATTTATCAGCTGAGGAGTGTAAAGTGCCAGTGCTTGATGCCAAATAAATAGCCATGATTCTTCAGTTCAAGTCGCTCTATTCATCATGCATCATTGAATAGCCTTAGTCTGCTGGATTGTAGACAATATATTGTCATTTTAATTTCATTTTATTTATTTAATTTTTTATTAATTATTATTTATGCTGCTGGCTTTTTGTTGTTAGAAGTTTTCCCTTTATTTTGTAGGTTTAATAAAGTAATACTATTGTGTTAAGGTGATTATTTCTGTAATTTATTTTCTGGTTAGTTGATAATTAGCTTGTCATTTATTTAATTTTAATTTAAAAATTATTAAACAATTATAAAGTATGATAAAACTGTGCTAATTTTAATTATTACTTAGTCAAACTTTTGGCCTAAAACGGATTAATGGCTTTTGAATGGCTGCTGGTTTTCCGGTGACTGTCAAACCTTTGGAGGGCAATCAAAGCAGCTGCCCCGCCCCCCGATTACACGCCTGTGGCCGTGGGTGGGCGTAGCTCGGTGGGTGTCCTTCAAGGATATACTCGGTGTATATGCGCGGAGCTAGGAGCCGCATGAGCATAATTTGTTGTAATTAACATAACGAGCCAGCCCAGGCAATAATGGCCAAACTTCCCACACCCGCACACTCGCACACCCGCACACACACACACCCACACACTCGTGTTTGAACTAAAGTTGGATTGTTTGTTGTTGAGCGAGACTTGCTGCTGATGCCTTTGTCCTTCATCCTTTTGTGTAATTAATTTGATTTTTTTTTTACCCTCTGTGTATACATATGTGTGTTTCTTTGTTTTTCGTCCATAACATAACACCGCCCCCGCAAGGAGCATAAATAAGTTGTTGTTGCTATTTAGGCAAGCATTTATGAAAATGACTTTATGCGTGGCATTTACAAGAAAGAGAGAGAAAGAGGGAGAGGTTTTAAATATTTCGTGAGCAAAGAGAATCGTTAAGCATTAAGCATACGCCCCGTGTGCCAAAGAGGGGTGAAAAATGTTAAACAATTTTCAAGTTATGCATAAGCCGGTTCATTATGAAAATTATATTATCGTAAAATAGTTCATAGGTGGTAATAAAAGCTTAAAGTACCTTCTTTTTTTAATTTTTAATCAAAGATTAAACTATTACAATTATTATCAAGTATACACGTTGGGTGCTAACATCCCTTTTCCTTTTTATATTTTTTTCAGCAACAAGTTGTCGAATTATCGGGCTATGTCATCATACTCGTCGAGAATGTGGAGGGTAAAATTAAACTATACGGCTCACCGCCCGATCGCGATAATCTGGAAGTGGGCGATGAGATACTCGAGGTCAATGGCCTGACCCTGGAGAACATATCCCGCACGGAGGTCATTCGCCACATACACGACGTACGGCAAATCAACAGTCCTGATCGATTGGGGAAACGGATTTAACTAATATCCTTTTATGTATATGTATTTTTTCCATTTAGTGCATTAAATCCTGTACCATATGTCTACGCGTGCGAAAGAAGAACGATTCTCGACTGGGTGAGTGTGCGGATTTTATATTTATCTTTAATATTGGGAATAATTTATAAAATTATACATTATAATATATATATTATATAATGTATAATTAAATAATATAAACAAAAGCAGTTAATTTTCATTAAGATAAAGACCAAACAGAATTATTTCAAGTGTAGAATAAGAATAGAATATAAAAAACATTTAAAATTGCCTAAAGTAAATTAAACAAATTTTTAAATAGCACATTTTTTGAATTTTTTATGAATTTTCCAATATTTAATAAATAGATCCATATAAAAAATACGAATGTAGCTCAATCATTTCTTTGTTTTTTTAATTTAACAAAAATGCAGACAGTTTGACATTGACTGAGATCACCTGCACAGTTGAAAAGCAACATGTCTGATTGGAGCACCCCACTCTCACATTTCATTTAATAACTGTCTAACTGGACTGATCTGTCTATGGGGCTCTCTTAAAGCCCCACTCTCTCTCTCTCTCTCTCTCTGAACATCTCTCATTATTTGCATACCCTGTAAACTGCAAGAGTATATATTGGATGCGTGGGTCATTTAAAACAAATGTAAATATATATTTATTTTGACTGTAATAAGCAATTATAGTAAAGATTAATCTATTAAATCTCTTCTTGTATCTTTCATGATTTGTGTTGAACATTATTAAAATAATTTAATATTTAAAATTGATATAGTAACAGTGTTTTTTTTTTAAATGCATGTGCATTTATTAAAATAATATATGTAAAATATATATATGTATATAAGCAAATACATATATGTATATATACATAATTTTTATAACGATCTCCACTTTCATTGTCTGATAAGGAGTATCAAGGTATCCCAGAGCAAACCATAAATTGTATCTTTACAATCGGCTTTGCGGTCAATTCTTCGCTCTGCCAGTCTCCCGCTTTCTGAGTTGGGGCCGCTCTCTGTTGGGGCCTCTCTCTCTGTTGGGGCCTCTCTCCCTATTGGGGCCTCTCTCTTTTGGGGTCTCTTTTGGCCCCTTAGTCGCTTTGCCGCTTGTCGAGTGAGCCTCGTCAGTTGTTAGGCGACCGTCGACGTTCCCGAGCGTCACCGTTGCAGTGTCGCCGCTTTTGCCTCCGGCTTTCGTTCTCGTCGCCTTAGCTTTTGCGTTCCCTCGCCCCCGGCGCGCGTTCCCTCTCTCTTCTCTGCGGCGGATTTCAATATTAATTTTAATTACAAAGTGCGCACGCGTTGGCGTCTCGGTGTTCGCTTTCGTTTCGTCTGGTTTTTTTTTTTTCGGTGTATCAAATTTGATTTTGATCTGTTGTTTTTTGTGTGGTGCAGCAGTAGCAAACAAAAGCAGCGCAGCAGCAGCAGCAGCAACAGCAACAGCGCAGTCGCAGCGACAACGTGAGTGGAGACAAGAGTGACTCTGAAACTGCAGAAACTATCTATTGGCAGAGTCGTGAATCAACAGTGTTGTGTATTGTACCTGCCAAAGGCACACAGGTACACAAATGTGTACCCAATGACTTGAATTGCCATGACTCGCAAACTACACTCCAAGAAAAGTCCACTATTAATAGGATTCTATAGGGTATAGGTCCATTTTATTTAACTAAATAATTCCATTGTAGAGCATTTATAATTTCCATGTTTCACATCTTCCCAAAAATCCTTCGGTAACTTCCCCATAATAAAACCTACCAATAGAATCTAAAATTATTTATTGTAAAATACAAAGCGATAATGTAAATTGTAAATCATAATTATATTTAATTCTTTGATATTTTAAAAACATTATTGCATAATTGTTTTAACAAATAAAACAGCAGAAACAATTAGATTCTGATATTCCGCATTATTGCAGTTATAGTTTCCCTTCAAAAAATTCAAATAATAATAACAATTTTTAGTTTAAAGAATTTATATTTTGCTGATATTTATGCAATTTATTTTTTAATGTTAATATTTAAGACACTTTTATTTCACCTGCTTAATAGGTGTTTTCTTTGATGTATTATTAAAGTTCTTCTGTTTCTAATCTTAATTTTCTTCTTATTATTATTGTTATTATTATAAAATAGCGTGATAATAGTTCTATGGGAAATAGGAAAACACTACAGGGGCATCTCTTTATGCCATTTCGTTTCATTATTATGGGCAAAACTTCAGTTTAACCCATTAACACTCTGCTTGAGAGCGGGATTTGCTTTATATTTCGCGTGTTTTCCGTTGTAGTCTGCTTTTTTTTATTATTTAATTTTTTTTTTTTTGTGATTTGTGCTTTGTGTTGGTAGCGTTTTTGTGGGCGTGAGAGTGCAAAAAGTGAGTAGTTTGGGCCAGATACAGATTCCAAAGACCATCAAAAGTGGGCAACAAAAAGCGTTTGGAAATGGAAATGGTAATGGAAATGGTGGGAGTTATATGGCCCGCTCTCACCTCTCTCCCACTCGCTGTACCTCCTCTCTCTTTCTCTCTCTCTCTGTTGCTCTCGTACAGCCTCCCACCGAATTCAGCCAACTGGAAATTACTGCAAAATAGACAAAGCGAGTGAGAAGATGGCGAGAGATACCGTGTGTGTGCGGGCGAAGGAGATGCGAAATAGAAATAAAAGCTGCTTACAGCCACGTGTTGTTGCTATAGCTAGTGGGCTCTTCTTGTTGTTGTTGTAAAAAGTGGCTGAACAAGAAAAAACTCTAAAAACAAAAACAGCAATAACACGGACAGCAGCAGCAGCAGCAAAGAAAACTAACCTCAAAACGAAACAAGTTTTGTCGAAAGTGGAAATCAACTGTCAAAAAATAAACACAAAAAAAACAACGTATAAGTGGCAAAAAAAAGAAATACATTTTATGGGGCCCACATACCAAAAAGTAACATTCATTATGAAATCATTAAAAATCAAAGAAATTATATCCAATCTTTAAATGCAAATAGTTTTTTTTTGTTAAGGGAAAATCTCTTAATCTTACCTGAGATTTTAGGAAATTATTTATTTTTGAGTCAACCGAGTTTGCTATTGTTTTTGTTTTTCTTCGAAATTGTTTAGACTTTTAGTGATTTGTTATATAAAAAATAATATTCTAAAGTAACTTTCAAAAGATACTCATTAAACCAGGTATAAAGGCAGCAAACAGAAACATAAAACAATTAATAAAAACAAAACACTTTTCTACTTCAAAGTCCAGAATATATATATACTTAGATACTATATAATTGGGGGCGTTTGTCGGCTCAGATAGACTTGTAATAAGCCTATATTATACATGTATCTTTTTATCTATTCAATAAACCAATAAGATACATCCCATTCCGGCTCCCCACACCACTAGATATGTATGTTGTGGGGATAATAAATCAGTCAACTGCTGACCCATATCGGATCAACATCATTCGAATCTCCAGTTTGCGAAGCAAATACAGTTTTCCGACACTGAATCGCATTCCAAAGGGGCGTATGCGCAACGTGAAGTGGTTCCCCTTCCCCCTTCAGTTTTTGATAAGGCAGCAGCATAATCAGTGTGTTGGCCTGGCCTGCAGACTGCAGTCTCTCTCCCGTTTCCCCCCGTGAAACCGCTTTTATTTTTGGGTCAACTCCCAACAACAGACCCCCAAGAATTTCCAGTTTGCTAACCAAAAAAGTAACACCGAAATTCCAAAGCCATGAATTTGTTTTTTTCGAAGCCAAATCAATAGGAGTTGCCACGCGGGAAGGAGGAGAGTCAGAGAGCCAAAAGACCGGAGGAGAGCCAGAGAGTTGAAGGTGCGAAGCTAGAAACTAACATAAAACCTTAAAAGCTATAGCCGAATCTAAAGTCTTCAATGCTTACTGAGAGAGGAAGAGAGGCTGTCGGGAAGAGAGGCTGCTGAGAGAGAGAAAAAAAGACGGGCTAACAAAACAGCATCCGAAATCCGGTAACGCAAGTTTCATGGCTCCAATCACTGAGAAAAATTACCAGCTTGCATAAGCAAATTACAGGAAATATTGTATTCTTGCAGCTGTTACTGATGGCGGAAACAGCTGTATATGCAAAGCTGCTGCTTGGTTTTGTGTTTTCTATAACAATATTGATAAATTTTTAAGTAAATTTCCTTGGAAATTAACAAAATTAATATATTAATATTTCAGAATGTCAAAAAGTAGCACATTTCCAATAAAAAGTGATTAAATACATTTAAAGGGCTTTTTATTTTTTTGTTTGACTTTCGCGTCAGGTGATTTCCTAGGAAAATTAGTTATTATATGTATATATTTATTTGTTTTATTTGTATTTTTTTTTTTTTTTTTTGTGTTCTATGGCTGAGTCAATTGTGTGAGTAAGTCTTTCAATTTTACACGCTGCCTGGCGGCAACGCTGACTGCGACTGCGACAGCGGCGTCGAAGTTGAAGTCGAAGTCGACGTCAATGACGATACAATTGAGCGCGTTCAGATGCGCCGTTGAAAACGGGAAAAGGGGAGCCAGAAGCGGAAAAGGGGGGGCGGCGGCTCTGGGAAGGTATGAGATGGCCATATGCTGCGATGTGTAAAAGTCATTGCCTCGGGCAAGCAGGCGAGAGGGGGAGAGCCAGAAAGAAAGAGATGGCCGAAATTGTTTTCCAACTTGGCCATGGAATTGCATTGAGATGCTTTGTGCACTGTGAAAAATTCTCTTCAGATCAAAAGAAGTACATAGTTATTGTTATATTTCTAAAGTAAAAACTATGAAACCTCAAAAACTTAATTGGGAATTATAAGGAATGAATAGAACATTTTAAAAATCGTTGGTTAAAAGTTTCTTAAAATAATATTCAATATGTTCACAGAATATATTTATAGTTAATATATTAAAAAAAATAAGTGCAGAAAATAATATAAGAGCTATAATCATTTTCCGAGTGTAAAATCTGCAAGGATGTGAGCAGGGGATTTGGGATGCATGCATAGACATGGCATTGGACGCGGGATGCATGTCGCAGGTCAACCTCAGTAGCCACTGGAATGCAGAGGCTCAGTGGTTCATCTAATGCGGTGCCATTGGATTGT